ACCCAGGATAGACACGATTTTGCTCCTTTATGGTGAGCAGGGGAACTGAAACTCAGCTTTTCTTCAATCTGTATTGCTGCATTTCCACTGATTTTCATAACACCATGAAATCCCTCTGGCCACAAGGGCCAGGGGCAAAAGTACTGTCAGTGCCTGAGTGTGAGCTGCTACAATTCACTTCCATGTCCCTGAAAAAAACTAAGTCCCTTTTCACCACCGTTGTCAGATGAAAGGCAGGCATTCCCATCTGCCCCCCACTTTCTCAGGGTGCTTCACTTCCTTGAAAGAGAGCTCTGTATCTAGCTTGAAGATGACTGCAATTTTAAATTCACCACCACCAAAAGCAATTGCGTGCTTGCAAGCAGTCAAAATTTATGACTGCAGAAAACTGTGTGACACACCTCAGATCAGAGTGTGTCCAAGCCTTAAGAACACCAGTGAATTCCCAGTCCCTCCCTGGAACCTATTTTCAAGAAGTTTCAGCAGCAATGGAAAGTAAAATCAGTTCCTTATTTTGCAGCTCTCTGTAAATGCTATTATTTCCACCACTTTTGAGGATCCAGCTGGAACAAAGCATCTTTGCTGGCTGTCCTTGATCATGAAAATAGTGCTTGAGTATAGTTTCACTCAAATCTTCCCAAAGAAGCTGCCTCACAAATCATAATGCCCTTCAGGGCAAATGAAGCAGCATCAGCTCCATGCCTGCTTCTTCTCACAGCTCCTCAAGCACACCAGGGGTACACAGCCTCAGGGCAGCAAACAAAATGAGAATGACAACTATTGTGTAGGTTTGAGTGGAGTTTTAGTAGCTGGCAGCTGGCCTTGAGTAGTGGGTGAAGATGTGTTGTGGCTCTAAATACAGCCGGCAAGTAACACTACAGGCCTGTGTTTTGCTCTCTCTGTGGTTCTGCAGCCATAAAACCAGGATTCCTCCGCTTTCCACACCAACACAAGCAGTGCTGCCTTTTCCAAGGCCTTGATCAGAGCAGTGAGCCTATGTCAGACCCACCGACAGACCCATCCCAGGGCAGTGCCTGCCCAGCCACCCTCCCACACACAAGGTCCCTTAGGAGACAAACAGGTCAGGATGTCACAGTGCCCTGATTGCACAGCTGGTGCATGAAGTTCCCAGCACCAACTTTCTCCAGCAATTTCCACCTTTTTTTTTTTCGGAAGACTGCCTTGAGATATGTTTTATCAAACAAAAGTTACACCCTGAATGCAGTCAGTAATATTCCCATGAATACTCCCATGCCCTAAACTGGGATTGATCAACAAATCTGGCTCAGGGGTGGGCATAGGCAACACAGTAGTGTTGCCTGGGGAAGAACAGGAGGAGTCACCACAGCTGTCTAAAGAAAGCTGAAGTTATCTCAATGGAAAAAGGAGGGTGAATTTTGTTTTAAATTGCTGTATCAGTTAAATGATCAACTGGTTGTACAAGTGTTCTGAGTTAATCAAAAGGTTTTATCTTGTTTTATCTTTATCTTCCTAAGCCAGCTAAGACTAGTGTGGCACTCAGCCCAAAATAAAGCATAAAAGTTGAGCAACCAGCAAAACGAACTTTGAAGAGAGCTATGGGCTTGAGCTGGCTTCAGTGCACGTATTTCTTACCAGTGACCAGAGATACATAGCACCATGATGGTAAATGTATATAGGCAAGTAATGGCAATTTTGTCTGTATTCTGAATCAACTAGATTTTGTAAATGCTATATCATGCTTGTATTGTGATTGCTGCTTCACTCTGCTAAATCAAAATCCCAGCTAACAACAAAAGTTTCCAAATAAGTAAATTTAGTAATAACACATTAAACCGTCCTCATGTGGAATATCTGAATGAGCTTGGTCAGAATGCATTGGACAAGAATAGTGCCAGCACTGCAAGGAAGCATGGTCAGGACACTCCTCGTCATGAGGTATGCATCTCCAGGGGGGGCTTGGTTTACTCAAGGCAACATGCACATCACTGTAATGCAGAACAATTTGAAATGACCACCCCTTTGTAGCATCAAGGGCGCATGGGGAATATGTGCTAAGACCGTGTACAATGTCTCCTAATGTAAGGCCTCAACTTCATGCAAGAAAGGACAGCAGGTGATATTTCTCTCTGACCTTGATTCAGCTTAATTTTTAGCCACTTCCAACAATGCAGTGATAAGAAGAAACCAACAACCTTGCATGTATGAAAAAGTAGAACTCTAAATACATTTATTATTCAGTTACATTTGTTTTTCATTGCACAAATTTGGTTTCCATCCCCATGGTTTACAGTTTTTTACAAAGCTGTTAGGGTTTTTAGAAACTATTAGAATGATCACTTAAGTCTATTTAGGCACAGTTTATTAATGCATAACTGCACTTTCTCCACTTTTTTCTTTGTGTGAAAGATTTACGATTGCATTTAAGCTCCAAATTGAAATACATTTCACAGTCTACACTTTTACAGGCATAATGTCTAAAAAAGTTTTGATTAAATAGTCTCACCTTATAAAATTTTGCCAATAAAGCCTAAATGAAAGCAACTTATTTTCCAAAAATGCTGAAATCAACACAACCATAAGACAAGAACCACGGTAGCTGGCCATTTTTCTATGCTAGTCAGTCAGAGGGTAATGAAGAAACAGTCCTCAAGAGGATTTAAAAATCCCCCAGGAAAATTACTCTAACTTGGAAATAATTTAAATAATTTATTCTGTATGAAAAATAACAAAAAAAAAAAAAAAAACCAACCCAAAACACAAAAACACAATGCAGCAAATAAAACACATATGGTGACAACGATGTGTCCTATCCCCTGGAGTGCTGAGGCTATGTCAATAGCTCTCCTTTCTGACAATGATAGGTTGAAAACCAGAGTACAATATCCCTGGGGCTACCCTCTGTGAAAATGGCTTTGAAGTTTAAAGCTGTCAGGCCTGTTTGACATGGCTGAAAAACTGTGAGCTTCTCGATTTTTTATTTAGCTCTTCTCTTTGGTGAGAAAGCCTGACTACTTCTGGTGTAATATTCATGTATTTGGATTAAAGCTCCGTAACTTGGTTTGAGCTGCTTCTGCATGCAACCACACACTGCAGTGCTTGCAGGGCACAGGGAAGTCACAGAATCACAGAATCCCAAGGGTTGGAAGGGACCTCAGAAGATCATCTGGTCCAACCCCCCTGCAAGAGCAGGGTAACCTAGAGTACATCACACAGGAACTTGTCCAGGCGGGCCTTGAATATCTCCAACGTAGAAGACTCCACAACCTCCCTGGGCAACCTGCTCCAGTGCTCTGTCACTCTCACAGTAAAGAAGTTTTTCCTGATGTTCACATGGAACCTCCTATGCTCCAGTTTACACCCACTGCCCCTTGTCCTATCACTGGATATCACTGAAAAAAACCTTGCTCCATCATCCTGACACCCACCCTTTACATATTTGTAAACATTGATGAGGTCACCCCTCAGTCTCCTCCAAGCTACAGACCCAGCTCCCTCAGCCTCTCCTCACAAGGGAGATGTTCCACTCCCTTAATCATCTTTGTGGCTCTGTGCTGGACTCTTTCAAGCAGTTCCCTGTCCTTCTTGAACTGAGGGGCCCAGAACTGGACACAATATTCCAGATGTGGCCTAACCAAGGCAGAATAGAGGGGGAGGAGAACCTCTCTTGACCTACTAACCACACCCTTTCTAATGCACCCCAGGATGCCATTTGCCTTCTTGGCCACAAGGGCACATTGCTGGCTCATGGTCATCCTCCTATCCACCAGGACCCCCAGGTCCCTTTCCCCTTCACTACTTTCCAGCAGGTCAGTCCCCAACCTGTACTGGTACATGGGGTTGTTCTTCCCCAGATGTCCATTCTAGAAGACCTGAAGTGAGATGAAGTTTATTTCAACAACTTCGTTATATATATATATATATATATATATATAATTATTTTTTTTTACAAAAAGAGTAGTGTTAATTGACCGATGGTAAAGGACTCCTCCTGATGCACATGAGCAACTACCCGCTTTCTGTACTGCTGCAGAAAGAAGCAACAGTATTTGTGACTTTTTAGCACCCATGGCTGTTGTTGCTATTGATAAATAAATGGAATATTTTTGAAAGCGGGTGACGTGTTTGCAGCAGGGAAAAACGGATGCTGGAGTCTTCGTGTGATTCTCTCTCTTGAATGTGTTTAGTGCCCGTGAGCTCCCTGCTGGCTATTGCTTTCAGGGATAACCAGAGGGGCATCTCACATGAGCACAGGCAGTGCACAGCTTTTAGTCCCCTTGCTAAGGATTCCTGTCTTTGGAAATTTCTAACTACAGAGATACTTAAATTTCTTTAGACTTTTGAGAAAACAAACATTAGACATCAGGCAACTAGAAGGGGATAGTATTCATTCCTGCATGTGTCACAACAAAGGTGCACGGATACAGGTCAAAAAGCAGTAGCTTGATCTGCTTGGGTTTAAGACATCTCCATAAGCTCTGCATTTGGGACATTCAAACTCCGGTGCTGCTGCTGCGCTCAGATCCCAGGGCAACAGACAGTGCACACTCTTGCCCCACACTGCAGGAACAAATGGAAAAAAACCCCAGGCACCGATGAGGCAGGCAGGTCTGTGTCCTGCATGGGTGCTCTGCACTCTAGGCAGGCTGCATAAAAGCTGGTCACAAGTGCCAGCCCTGAAACCAAGGATGGGATGCATCTTACAGCTGCTTTTGTTCCCAAGAAAGGGCTGGGGGAGGCAGCAAGCTAGAGAGTTGATGCTGAAGGGCAGATGTATGTGTGTGGCTTCAGGGCCTGGGGACACAGGGCAGCCCTGGAGGATGCGGGAGGCTGGGCAACACAGCTGGAAAGAGGGAGCCTACAGCTGTAGATGGCTGCAGGCATTGGACAAGGTGCTGGCAACTTGGAGCTAAGGAAGCAGAAGCTGCAGACAGGACAAGCAATACCCCAGCAAAGGCGGAGTACTGTTTGTGACCACCCACGGTGGTGGTCCTCGTGTGGCTGACAGCAGATGCTCCTATGCTCCTCGTGTAGCTGACACCAGACCTTTGAGCAAGTGTGCTCAACACTGCAGCTTTAAATGTTGTTCTAATTTGCCTGATGACCACTGCAGCATCATGGGCCCCCAGCTGACTGTCACTGGTATTTGGCAGAAGGAGGGACAGAAAGCCACTGACTCAAAGGACCCAGAGACCTCTGCTGCACCTGAAGCTTTTCTGGTGACAATCAGCCCACACCACCACCCTTTTAACAGTAGAACCTTCAAACATCAACTCTCCTTTATCTATCACAAAAGTGCCAGCACGCGCGAGCCCCAGTGCAGCCTCCCGCTTAGAGCAGGACTATCTCCAAGTAAGGGCAGCTATTGCTTTGCCCAGCCACCCAGGTTTAGGGCCAAGCCATGAGGCAACTGTGGTGCTTGAGGATCACTTGGGGGCTAGAGGTGCCTGTGAAGCTCAGTTGCAGAGTGGTCTCCCAGGGGAGGAGGACAGCAGCCACAGGAGCCACACTGCTGAGTCCAGGAGTGGGAAAAGAAGCTGGTAGCTGCCTTCAGCGTCCCATCTTGATGTCATGTGGAGGAACAGCAATACAGGTTGTTCCTAGAGGATCTCCAGGATCCAAAGAGCAAGATTTTCCGAAGTCTCTCACTAGCATTAATGCATGAGCTTCTGACACAAGTGAGCTTGCGAGCAAGGGGAGCCTGGAGAAGCACAGCAATTCCATCAGTAACTGTTTGGTGATGATTAGGGAAATACAACCACCACAAGCCAGGGAAGTCCATGCTGCCTGACGCATCGTTTTCCCCCCAGCAAAAACACTAGGAGTAGTCATCCACAGAAACAGGATTCTGCTGCAGTTGCCAGGGGTGCCAAGAGCTGGAGGCCAGCACCCTCAGTAACTGTCTGTGTCCATAGAGAAGTTTCCACTTTCCAGCTTCATCTGTTTAATTTGAACATCTCTCTGGTTTACCAGCTCACGTAGTCTACGGATTTCTTCCTGTTGTCGGTAAAACATCTGCAAAAGCTGTAAGAAAAGTCACATTTTATCTCCCTTACAGTAAGGAAACACAAGACTTACTCTGTCAAATGTCACCAGTCCTGTCAAATCTCACTTCTGAGAGAAACCATTTAAGGAGGAAGACTTCAACCAACAGAATGAACATCAGCAGTGCTCCTGCTGTCCTCTAGCTTGGACTATAAATGCATGTGTTTCTCAGCACCATTTAGTGATGCTACATTGGATTCATTCAATGGAAAAGATCAGAAAAAGTAACTTTCACACTACTGATTGCTCCAAGAAAGCCTAAACACATAGAGTATTTGGAGTCTAAATTCCTGGATCTGCCATGTCTCCTACTCTGACCTTAGGCATGTCCTTTTACTTCTGGTCTTTTTTCCTATTGATCCTGCACCACTGCACAAGCTTTGGTTACGATACACAGAGGGGTTTGGCTGTCAGTTAAGTCAGATCATGTTGCTGCCAGGACCTTTTCTGGAGCCATTCCCAGGAGCAGGCAGTGACCAGTAGCCAGCCTCAGTGGCACTGCACTGCCAAGTTGTTCCCCAGCAGTGAGCTTCCGAGGCAGGGGCAAAGCCAGCTCCTTTCCCATGTCAGGGTCTACAATATAGCTAAGCGCTCAAGGCTATATGGATGCACCCCGGGCCAAGGAAGCAGGATACACCCACTTCTTCCACAGATATCCCTGATGCCTCATGGGGCTCTCTGAACACAGCTCCCATAGAAGGTTTACACTGCATATACCCCCTTCCCTTCTCCAGACCCTGGAGGTCACAAGCGCCTCCTTGTCCCCAGACACCAGGCAGGTCAGTGCACAAGAATGCCTAAGAAGCAGGAATACTGACTGCTTTCGCCTTTCCAGACTCCCTCAGCTGGGCCACATTTCTGCTTCAGCTCTGCAGCCAGAGCATGCAGAGCTTCTGCCCCACAAAGAGCTTGCACTGGCCAGGTCTGCATAATAAATCCTCCCCAGATTCTGTCACCTTGTGAATGGCATCCTTTTGCTGGCTGAGGATTCCACCCACAGTCCCAACCCTTCACCCCAGATATTCACACCTCATTTTCTGTTTTGGGTGGTGGGCACTCAAATATGTCAAAGCTACTGGAGAGACACATTTGCTCATTTTTTGGCAATTTCTCCTCCACTCTGGGAAGTTTTCTTCTATGTTCAGTCTCATTTGGCTCCTGCACATCCTCCAGCGGCATCCTTCCTCCCCAGCCCTGGTGCTGGCTCAGGTCATCAGTCTTTGCAGGTGGCTCTGTCTCAGGAAGCTGTGGTAAGGAATTCACAACTCCAGAGCCTGGTCTCAAGGATACCAAGAGAGGTCCTAGGGGAGGAGGTAGGTGACAGGTTAGGACTTAGGAACCACACTGAGAAATCAGCTGTAAGCAATCACTCAAACAGCCTGAAGGGATAAATGAGTGGAGCGAATTCCAGAGTTCACAGTGGTGAAGATTTTAGCCACCAAATTATTTTAGCTTACAGCCATATCTGTTATGTCTCTCTTTTTCCTTCCTTTCTTTCTCTGGAACTTGACAGGCAAGGGAGCTAGTAGCAGTTTACCAAAGCCCTCGAGAGCTGAAGGGCTGGGGAGCTCTCCATGTACTGACCTTTGTTAATTCCATTCAGCCACTCTTGTGCTGTAAGTGCTGGCTGGGCTGCTGTGGTCAAGGGGTAGATGTCTTCCTGGTATGACTCCGACTGCAAGCAAACAAAAGTCCAGAGTCACCATATCAGTGAGGTTTTGGCTTATAGGGACTATACTGGATTGTGGTGGAGAAAGGAGTTTGTTCCACCTCAGCACAGGATGTGCCATGAGCACTCACCAGCTTGGACATAAAACCTTCTTGTCTGCCCTGAGCCTCCTCCTCCTCACCCCAACTCAGAATTGTATCTGAAGGCCTATTTTAATTCCTGCCAATAAGGTCTTTACACATCCAGACAACAGACTGGGCGAGGTTGGTGAAACACTAACCCAGTTCTCACAAATTCAGCACTCCTGAGGATGAAGTAAGTGGATACGACGGATAGGCACAAGTCACAAATTATTAGCTGATCATCAGCTGACAGAAACTGGCCAAGCAGATAACACTGGCAGAACATGCCTGACTGGTCATTGCAATGAGCATTAGTTCTTGCTGCCTTTCTGAACTCAAGGCATTCATACCTTCCAGTGTTTCTGGAATCCATTGTTCCCTTTTTCCATGGGTGATTCTTCTTTCTTCCACAAGCAGATTGTCATGTAACTCAACGACACCCCCAACTCTTCTCTCTTTTGTCATTATGTCAAACACAGACACCTAACTCCCGAGTTACCCAGCCAGGGTTTGTTGGCATGGCTTTCCCACAAGCTGACCAGCTTTGTCCCTCAGTTCAGGAGAGCGAAAATCTGTTATACCTACTTTCCTGCCCTCAGGAGTCACACAGAGAGGGCGCTGCCTTCTTTTTCACTGATATTTGTCCAAGACACGAACATGACCTGAGGTTAACTTACCCGTCGAGGCACAATCATGGAGATGGGCTCAATCATGTTTTTAGTAGGTATCAGTTTGTAGAAACGGAAGATTTCACAAGCTGACACTTCAAGGCCTCTCTTTGGCATCATTCCTGGTAGGATAGCATGAAAGAAACAGGATATAAATCTCCCTAGGAAAGTTAGTGTCATCCACATTGGAATAGGGACGACACTAAACAACAAAAGGAATCACAGCATCAGCTATACAGCAGTGAGGTTTGAAGTCTGCAGTCAAAACTGGCTCAGTGGCACAAATAACAAGACTAAACAATTTTGGTTTCTGTCAGACCATCAAGCTACATATAGGGTCTGTGTTTTTCATGCCAAGCCTCCTGTTCCTTCTTCATTCTCATGAGCTGCAAATTGAGTGAACAGGACTGAGCAGAATTGGCAGGGAATGCCACAGGATTTGACTATCAGGATCAACAGGAAGGGATTTCAGGACACCTGAACACATTAGAAGAGCTACATGAGTCATGCTGAAAGCTCTTCCAGCCCAGTATCCTTCCCCCAGCACTGTACCAAAGCAGAATGGAGTAGGAGTAGGATGTGAACACCTACTTTGTCAGAAAGCACCATTTGTCCTTCAGGGACTCACTGAGCCACACAAAGTCTCAAAGTACCTAGTAACCTCACTGGATTTCTATCTCATAAGCTTATAAAGCCCAAAGCCTACTGTCCTGGGTACAACAGTAGCAGTCATTTTTCTTCTTCTCAGTAGCTGGTGCAGTGCTGTGTTTTTTTACTTTCAGCCTGGGAACAACACTGATAACACTGATGTTTTTAGTTGTTGCTCAGTAATGTTTAGTCTGGCCAAGAACTTTCTGAGTCTCATGCTCTGCCAGGGAGGAGGGGAAGCCAGGGGGAAGCAGAGACAGGACACCTGACCCAAACCAGCCAAACAGGTATTCCATACCACAGCACATCATGCCCACTATATAAACTGCAGGCAGTTACCCAGAAGGGTTAGATCACTGCTTGGGTCGGGCTGGGTATCAATCGGTGGACAGTGATCAGTTGTATTCTCTTCCCTTGTTATTTCCCTTATCATTATTATTATTGGTGGTAGCAGAAGTGGTCTGTGTTATACTTTAGTTACTGGACTGTTCTTATCTCAACCCGTGGGAGTTACGTTCTTTCCATTCTCCTTCACATCCCTTTGGGAGTGGAGAGATGAAGAAGTGGGGGGGAGTGAGCAAGGTTCTGAATTACCAGCTGAGTTTAAACCACGACACATATGAAGACACATGCATATCCATTCCCTTAACAAAAGGGATTGTCTCTCCTTTAGACCTTGCTTCATTGTGTCCTACAGAAGCTTAGTTTTTTACTAATACCAAATGACCCCATTAAACAGTAGATTCTACATGAAGGGCCAGTGATCATTACATTGTGCATTCATCTAAATGTAAACCTAAGCTCCACTCCTCTACATCCACATTGTATTCTGTTTTGCAAATACTGGGGGATAAGATATAGTGAAATAACCTTAGCAGTATGATTTGATCGGCATAACAGGTCAGGTCAGGGAAGCAGATTTGATTCATTCAGGCCCTTTAAAAACACTTGAACGCTTCCTTTTCAGTGAACAAATTTTAAGACTATGACAACCAAAAATTAGGATACTATATACTGCAAGGATCGTAAAAGCTGAGTAACAGACAGATATTCCAGTTAAGTTTAAAATCATTTATTCCTTTCCAATAACAGTTTTTTTGAAGGACACAGGTACAAAATTCAGTGCTGCTAAATGTCTGTAACAACGTACTGGAAGAATGGGAGTGTCTGCAAGTAGTGTGGAGGGGTGGCAAATGGTCCTAAAAACACATCAGTTTATAGAGGAATACAGATTACAGGGTAGACTGGAGAAGGTTCAAGAAAAGGATACCAATAGGAGCTGAGAGCTGAAAGCCAAATTGTGTAGCTTGAATGAGCTAAGCAATGGGTAGTAAGTGAACAGGTTAATAAGCACGGGCCTCCAATGGAGTAGAGGTGACCTAATCACGGCAAGTCTATCACTAACTGGGAAATGCCAGCAAAGGAGAAGATAGAAAAGCAGTAAGAGTGAAGGTATTAAGATGTGGAGCACCCATTACCAGAGAAACCCCAGAGCGGAAACAATGTCAACAGAGTTCAATGCCAAAAACCTTGGAGCAGATTCACAATGGGCAAGGCGCATCCTCCACCTTTAAATCCAGACTATCCTCCCTTCCACCTTGATTAGGTATGCAGGAGAGGATGCAGCAGTGACTGGTAAAGCTGCCTGGCCCATGCTATGCTGGTCAGAAGGGTACCCTCTAACCTGTGCCCCTGTAATATCATGTGTGATATAAAGGTAAACTGGGTCAAGCTGGCTGCTGTGCACCTGTATCACAGTAGGTTAGAGATTGGAAGGGACCTCAAAAGATCATCTAGTCCAATCCCCCTGCCGGAGCAGGAACACCTAGATAAGGTTACACAGGAACGTGTCCAGGCGGGTCTTGAATGTCTCCAAAGAAGGAGATTCCCACAACCTCCCTGGGCAGCCTGTTCCAGTGTTCCGTCACCCTCACTGAGGAGAAGTTTCTTCTCAGGTTTAAGTGGAACCTCTTGTGCTCCAATTTGTGACCCATTACCCCTTGTCCTTTCATTGTTTGCCACTGAGAAGAGCCTGGCTCCATCCTCGTGACACTCCCCCTTTATATATTTATATACACTAATAAGGTCACCCCTCAATCTCCTCTTCTCCAAACTATAGAGACCCAGCTCCCTCAGTCTTTCCTCATAAGGGGAGATGCTGCACTCCCTTAATCATCTTAGTTGCCCTGCGCTGGACTCTCTCCAGCAGGTCCCTGTCCTTTTTAAACTGAGGGGCCCAGAACTGGACACAGTATTCCAGATGAGGTCTCACCAGGGCAGAGTAGAGGGGAAGGAGGACCTCTCTCGACCTACTAACCACCCCCCTTCTAATACAACCCAGGATGCCATTGGCCTTCTTGGCCCACAAGGGCACAGTGTCGGCTCATGGTCACCCCTGTCGTCCACCAGGACCCCCAGGTCCCTCTCCCCTACACTGCTCTCTAACAGGTCGTTCCCCAGCCTATACTGGAACCTGGGGTTGTTCCTGCCCAGATGCAGGACTCTACACTTTCCCTTGTTATATTTCATCAAGTTATTCCCCGCCCAGCTCTCCAGCCTGTCCAGGTCTCGCTCGATGGCACGTCACAGCCTTCTGGCGTATCGGCCACCCCTCCCAGCTTAGTGTCATCAGCAAACTTGCTGATGAGTACACTCAATTCCCTCATCTAAATCGTTGATGAATATATTAAATAATACTGGTCCCAGTACCGACCCTTGAGGCACTCCACTAGATACAGGCCTCCAACTAGACTCCGCCCCATAGACTACAACTCTCTGGCTTCTCTCCTTCAGCCAGTTCACAGTCCACCTCACGACCCGATCATCCAGACCACACTTCCTCAATTTAGCCGCAAGGATGCTGTGGGAGACCCATGTCAAACGCTCTTGCTGAAGCTCAAGGTAGACCACATCCACCGTCCTACCATCATCCATCCACCGCGTTATTTCCTCATAAAAGGCTACAAGATTGGTCAAGCAGTCGACTTTCCCCTTGGTGAAGCCATGTTGACTGCCCCTCATAACTCCTCTTATCCTTGATATGCCTTAAGATGGCACCAAGGATAAGGTGTTCCATCACTTTCCCAGGAACGGAGGTGAGGCTAACCGGTCTATAGTTACCCGGGTCCTCCTTCTTTTCCCTTTTTGAAGACAGGAGTGACATTTGCTTTCCTCCTCAGTCCTCAGGCACCTCTCCCGTTTCCCAAGACTTGGTAAAGATGATGGAGAGCGGGTCTAGCAATGCACCTCAGCCAGTTCCCCTCAGCACCCGCGGGTGCATCCCATCTGGACCCATGGATTTATGGATATCCAGATTGCTCAACTGATCTTTAACCCATTCCTCATCAACTAAGGCAGACTCGCTGCTCGTTGACCTATCTTCATCCGGGGTCTCAGCGGTACAGGGCTCTTCAGGGCTGCCTCCAGCAGAGTAGACAGAGAGACAAAGAAAGATGCATTCAGTAACTCTGCCATCTCTGTATCTTCTGTCACCAGGGCACCCATCCCATTCATCAGCGGGCCTACATTGCCTCTGGTGTTAGTTTTACCTGCCATGTATTTGAAAAAAGCTCTTTCTGCTGTCCTTGACCCCTCTCACCAGCTTTAATTCCAAGGAGGCCTTAGTCATCCTAGCAGCTTTCCTACATCCTCTAGCAGCAGCCTTATATTCTTCCCAAGTGGCCAGCCCTTCTTTTCCATGACCTGTAAACTGTCCTCTTCCACTTGAGCATACCGAGCAATTCCCTATTTAACCACGCAGGTCTCCTGACCCTCTTCCTCGACTTCCTACGTGTCGGGATGCTCCGATCTTGAGCTTGGAAAAAGCAGTCCTTGAACGTCAACCAACTATCTTGGGCCCCTTTCCCTTCAAGCAGCCTAGCCCACTGGATTTCCCCTAGCAATCGCTTGAAGAGGCCAAAGTTTGCCCTGCTAAAGTCCAGGCGTTGCGATTCTACTTGCTATTCTACTGACCCTACCAGACAAGATCCTGAATTCTCTACCATCTCGTGGTCACTGCAACCAAGGCAGCCCTCAACCTTCTCACTCCTTCAACCGACTCCCTTGTTAGTGAGGATGAGATACCAGCAGCGCACCTCTCCTGGTTGGCTCATCCACCATTTGCATGAGGAAGTTATCATCGCATACTCATTGGAGGAACCTCCTGGGACTGCGGGCTGGGTTGCCGAGTCAGTCCTTGCTAGCACACATTACAGGGAAGTTAAAATCGCCCACGACGACCACGGCCTGTGACCGTGAGGCCGCGCTGTCAGCTGCCTGTAGAAGGCCTCGTCAACTTCCTCACCCTGATCCGGTGGCCTGTAACAGACCCCCACAACAGTATCGCCCCTGCCAGCCTGCCCCCTTAATTCTCACCCACAGACTCTCGACTCGCTCATCATCTGTCCCCGGACAGAACTCAACGCATTGTAGCTGCTCTCGCACGTAAAGAGCAACCCCACCACCCCGCGTGGCTGGCCTGTCTTTCCTGAAAAGGACATAGCCCTCCATGACTATATTCCAGTCATAGTGCCAGCTGTCCCACCACGTCTCTGTGAATTGCCACCAGCACTCATAATCTCCCGACTTAACACAGGTTTCTAGCTCCTCCTGCTTATTTCCCATGCTGCGCGCATTGGCGTACAGACATTTCAGGGAGCGAGCCGAGCACACCGATTTCACCCCTCAGGATTACAGGAGGCCTCCCAGTCATCATCAATTCCCGATTGCGAGCGCTGTCCCACTGAGGCAAGCCGAGCTACAACCCCATCCCCCCTTCAAATCTGAAGTTTAAAGCTCTCCCTGGAAATGCAGCCCCGCTAATTCGTGCCCCAGCATCCTTTTACCCTCTGTGCGATAGAACCTTTCCCCACATGCCAACGTCCAGGCCGGTGCCCTATAAAACCAGCCGTTATCAAAGAATCCAAAGCCCTGCCTGGAGCACCAGCCTCGAAGCCAATCGTTTATGGATCTGCATTTTCCCCATTCAGTCCCACATCATCAACAGAAGATGGAAGGAGCGAAGAGAAGATCACCTGAGCCCCAGAGTCTTTCACCATCCGCCCCAAGGCCCTGTAGTCTTTCTTCATCTCCCTCAGAGTGCGGGAAGCAAGTTCCCCTTCACCCGTCTGGAAGACCAGCAGCGGGTAGTAGTCTGTCGGGCGCACCAGGTTGGGGAGCGCCCTGGTGATATCCCTGATCCGGGCTCCAGGCAGACTACACACTTCCCTACGATGAGGGTCAACTCTGCATATCGGGCCCTCTGTTCCTTTCAGAATGGAATCACCCACTGACAATGACCCTTCTTTCTTTCTTACCAGAGGCAGTCTTGAGGTGCGAAGTCAACCGCTTTTTCCTATGTGGCCTTGTAGGCGGGCCTTGCACCACATCCTCACCTACCTCTCCTTCCAGATCCAGGGCCTCAAACCTATTACAGAGGGACACCTGGGGGAAGCGGGGCAGGAAGGGAGGAGGGCTGCCCACGACGCCGAACCGGAACTCGCTTCCAACCCTCCTCATCTTTTTGGTCCCCTACCTCCGGGCGACAGCTACATGACAGGGGCTGTCTCAGTCCATCCCCCTCTGTCTGAGAGGGCAGGGGGTCCATCCTCTTTTGGGGGGTATCTCCCTGGAGCCGTTCCAACTGGTTAGCCAGGGAGTTACTCCAGCAGTCGATCTCCCTTTCACACTCCCTGATGCTCCTCAGCCTCTCAACCTCCTCCTTAAGTTCAGCCACCAAGCTGAGCAAATCTTCCACCTGCTCACACCTCACACAGGTGGAATGCTGTCCTCCTTCCCCCGGCAGCAGCAGGCTCTGGCACTCCCTGCATCCAGAGACCTGAACAGCCACGGTTAGGGCCGGGGTCTCTGTCTGCGTTGCTACAGCCCTCTTACTGGTAGCTCTCTTTCTGGAGGCGACCATACTGGTCAGCACAACGACCTACCTGTTCCTCCCTGCACCTACTGGGCAGCGACCCCCGTCGCTGCCCTCTCAAAGGCTTTTTCAAGTCAAGGGGCAGGGGAGTGGTCGCCGTTCGCCGTGGGAACGCCCCCCGCCACGTCAGCCACTCTTTCGCAAGGGCTGCTGGAACTTTGGGAATCGGGAAGTGTTGGCTAATGTGGGGAATCGCGGTGGCTCCGCTCTATCCCCTCTGATTTTCCTGATCTCGGTAGAAGATCGCGGTCACTGTAGCGTGCCGGCTGCGGCTCTAGCTAGGCTAGCTCCAATCAGCTGACTGATTGTAAACCTGCATAGACTCAAATCTGGCCCACTCTCTTTTCTAAATGATATTTTGGATAGTCCTGGACTCTGGCAGCCTTTAAAACAAAGAAGTCACCATCTTCCTGTAACATTTGACATATGCTGTCACTCACCCATTCCCTTCTGTGGTAAATGAGAACGATATTCCATCAGGTAGTACATGTATGGTTTCTCAGGGCTTATCTCGTAGTACCGTATATTTCCATCACCCTAAAGGCAAAGAAAATTAACGTAAGCCAACCTCTGCTGCTTAGTATGACAGTCTGAGAAGACTGGCCTCAGAAGCCATGCAGAGTCAAGAATGAACTAAATATTTACCCCCAGATTCCTATGTGGGAAGGCTAGGGCTCTGCAGTGTGCCTCCCCAGCATTTGCTGACCGGGAAGCACTTACCTTTCCCACCACATAAAGCATGTGTGTGTCTGAGTCGTAGAAGGGAAACAGGATTCCAGAGGAGCCATCCAGATCCTCCTCCAATAAAGGCACAGAAAGGTCATCCTGGCAGGACACAGGAAAAACAGAGAGCTTCAATCACTGGCCAGTCACCTCGAGTCAGGGACATCTCAGCGGAGCCCCACCTGACAGTGGCACGTAAGCCAGCTTCTTCAGAAACTCATACTCTATAATGACCCTAGGCCATGGCCAGCTGCCCTGAACAGAGGGTCATGCACAGATTTATTCAAAGTTCTGTGGGTGAGAAATGGGTGCTCTGTCCCAGGCTCGCAATTGAGTGCAGCACCTCAGGACATCAGTTCGTGACAGTGGTACAAAGGGTGACAGCACAACAAAGAGGCAAAAGACTGTGTTACAAGGTAGTTAACACAGAAGGATGAAGTGAGACACTGACAAAGGAAAAGAATATAACTGTGTAAGAGAGGGGTAGAAAACAGCAGGGTTCCATAGGGCTAGCAGGCATCGTGATAGGAGAGCATGTCTTGGAAGTGATCAGTAAGTACTATCTCAATACTCCAATGTCAAAGGTCATCAGAAAACAAACACCCCACATTTTTTAACTCAGTTGAGGGCTTCACCTGAGTAGGCTACGTCTAGAGCTCATTTCTGTTTCCAGTACCAGTATCAATTTGCCAGGAAGACCAGGAAGAGCTGCTTTTAAATCAGAGTTACTGTGACCATCCAAAGGTTCTTCGAATGATTTCTACCCATAGCAGGCACAGCATTCTGTCTGTCCTGGTGGATTTCTATGCTGGAAGTTTTGAGAGCTTAACAGTGTCATAACATAAGGACTATCACCAACTAAGTATTTGACAGATCACTTCTGAATTGCTGTTATAAACCGGTTCTTGGGTATTTGGCAGGTAGAAAAAGTTAATGAGACAGCAAAAGAGAGAAAGAAAACTGAAGCTGGTGTGGTTAAGACTGCTGGTCCAACTCACTTGGTCCCATAATGCAATTTGCCTATTATTCCACCGAGATATTCCAGTAGAGATCAGTTTTTTCATGTTTCCAAGGAACAAGACTTTATTGGCTTTGTGAGAGTTGTAGCTGGCTTCCTATAGGAAGAGAAAGGACACTGTGTGAGGAAGAGACAGCACTCATCGCATAGCTACATTTCATGTTACACAAGACTCAGTAACTTCTGCAAGATTTGCTCAGCCTGCCTGAACTACAGTGAGCAAGATTTCATGGGCATCTGAGAAAGGCAGCTTAAACTCTTCAGAGCCATCTGCAAAAGCCCAGTCAAACTACTGAATTACATGTTTGCAAAAGGACAATCTCTTAATTGCTGCCAGGGCTTTGTGTGCCCAAATCTGTGCAAATACCTAGGAATAAGTCAGCTTCACCTTGCCAACAAATACAGAATCCAGGCAACAATAACAACCCTGGCAATGGGACACTTGCACCCTTCTGTCCACCTGATCTCTACAAGTCCTCCCTGTGGCATCCCACACAGGACTGCATGAGGCAGCTATGAGAACAGTGCCCTTTGAAAGGAGTTTCAGGGAGCAAGCAGCATGGTAGTAAGATGTGGAAACTCTGTGTTCAACAATGACAGCAAGTGTTCCATGAAAAGCAGAAGGCAATTGCACCACCTGGTGTGTTGGGCAATGGAAGGCAGAGAGGAGTCTTCTTTAATGGCAATGAATCTATCCAGAAGAGGAAACACTCCAAGGGTGAGATCAGATAAACCACAAACCTCTGAACCCAACCTACCTGTAGGACTGTTCCTGCACGAGGGTCTATCAGACGTATCTTTCTGTCCCTACAGGCTGTGGCAAGGAGACTGCCATCTGTGTTGAATGACATAGAAAGGACCACATCTCTGTGAGCATTGAGGATCTTCACTGGGTTTGAGATGACAGTCTTCGTGGTGTCAAGGTTCCAGATCATTATCTGGAGAAATAAAAGAAAATCAGCCCTTTGCTGCCTGACCATCTGAGGGCTTTGTGTGCCCTATTCACCTCTTCTCTGCATGCATAGGTCTTGCCATCATAAGTGATTGTTCTCCAGCATTTAAAATATCCCCTGGTACTTACAGTAACATCAAGGATACACTGCTCAGAATGTCAAATGTTCTAATTTCCTTCACAACCACATTTTATACATAAAAGTGGCCAGCATCAGTGCAGATATTTGCACTAGCACAGGAATGAAGCCAAATAAAAAAACCACAAAAAAGTGCATGGCACTGCATATGGTATCTAATCCAGTAAAGGAGAACGGCACAGTAAACTTAAGTTCATCAGAGACTGGAAAATTAGGAAGTCCTTCTGAACTCGGAGCAATGTCCTTTTGCCTTTGGGGTCATCATGGAATTTCCCCCTGGGGAAGGCTTATGAACTCTTTAGCATTAGTTCACAGCTTGAAATTAAAACAAATTTCAAAACACCGTGCCAAACAGGGTACCCCAGGAGGACAGCTGCACATAGAACCAACCCACCTTGTAGTCATACCCAGAGCTGAAGAGGATGTTATTAGCAGTGGGATGCCATTCAATGAGACCAACTCTTCGAACATGCCCAACAAGTTCCTTCTTCGGACTGGTAATGGTTTTTGTGAGCAAGGGCTTGGGGATCTCCCAGATTTTCACCTGAATGGCACAGGATGGGTCTTTGTGAGATTCCTGAGTAAGGAGCTGATTTGGAACTTAACAATAACTATTATTCCCTTGGTATTATTGTGCCCTTGAGAGCGAATAGGAATGCTCCTGGCTTTATTGAATGCCAGTTATTTAAATTAGTGCCTTTACTTTTCTGTGGGCCTGAGGAATCCTCTTTACCCTCTATCTTTAGCCAGCAGTTCTACCAGTTTGTTTTAACTTGGTAATCCAACACTTAAACTTGGCCAAGCTGTCAACACAATTACAAAAATTTCCAATTACAATTATTTCCAAGGGGAAAAAGTAAATGACAGATCTTGCAGACCTTGCCTCGTAACAAACTTTGAGCAAAACCGAGCGAATCTGAAATAAACTTAAAAGAAATATATTATAGCAGTGATCAATCCAAACAGTCATCCACTCAATATTACCTAGTGAAAGAACTGACAACTCCCCTGGTCAGATGACAGCTACAGTACTGTTTGTTCCAGTGCTGAACACTTTGCAAATGACACAGCCATTTGTCAGAGTACACTGAGCCCATGCAGGTGGACAAAGTACTCAGAAGCCCACAGAGCAGATGTTCCAAAAAGAGAGACTGAGAAGCACTGCACTGAAGTTTATTCAACTTCAGCTGGGAGTGTAGTGTCTCATAACAGGTCTACCTGCACCCCTGGGTTCTACAGGGCTGCTGCATGAAGACAAAAAACCTCTGTCCTCCTGGAGGGGAAGAAGAAATAGAAGAAACCTGCAAAAGGGGCTTGACCTATGCAGGTATAATGAAAGAGTCTTTCCCTCACTAACTGTAGGAGCACAACTATTTAGGACTCTAACAGATGATTAACCCTTTGGCACAATGAAAATTGCTATGCTTGTCATATTTTTTCCTAGACTTAGCCTGAAGCAAAAGGGTAATGCTCTTTGAGGCAGATAGGTCATGGAAACTAGCCACATCTGCCCAAGTCTCCCATTGTTTGGCCAATGAGGATCACACCTTTATAAGACAAAGAAGGAGAGCTACAAATACAGGGACCTGCTGGGAAAGGTCATGAGCATTCTTCTCAACTGAGGAATCAAGCTCATCAGAAACCTAAGGACTGTGGGGTCCAGTAGCCTCCAGACAAAATTCCAGAGTGGTAAGAGAAAGCATCACACTTTACAGCTTCAACAGCTGTCACTAACACAATAGAGCTGAGAGTGTAAGAAATGGAAAAGTAGATTGTGTTCATACTGAGAAATGCCTAGAATGAGCCATTCACCCCACATGCTATTAAATGGTTGGTGATAAAAGCAGGGAAAAGCCCCTGGCTGGTGTCTCAGACTGTATTAAATAGCAGAAATTGCCAATGCTTAGTGAGCAGGAGTGGGTCTTGGAGCCAGCCCAGCCAGGTCAAGCAAGAACAATGCGTGAGCCGTTTGCCTTGCTGCATTTTGAAGAAAACCTGACAAAGCGAATTCACAGAATTGCCCCTATAACCACAAGACATCCTCAGAAAGCTGAATTCATATGTTCCTGACGATATGCCAAAAGGAACAGAAGGGATAAGAGGATAAGCCCTCTCCCCATATCATTCAAACTCTCAGTGCCTGTCCTCAGTTCCAAGCCTGCCTGAAGCAGCACTGGGAACTGTAAAGGGCAATAGGTGAGACTAGCCATCCCCTCCCGTTCCAAAAATTACCACTCTACAATCTTTAGCTACACACTGCGAAAGATAGCTCTGGTATCACCAAGGCAAGCTCCAGAAAGGCTGATTAATGGCCAAGAAACCTCTGAGGAATGCGAGTAATGAGAAACTTCCACTACCTTCACAGAAGCTTGTGGCCATCCTCAAAAGCTCCAGGGAGACCCAGTCCAGTAAGAACAACCAGATGCATCCTTGCACACAAGCCAGAACAGTGGCTTATGCCACAGTGAGGCTCAGAAATGGTGGAGAGCACCATACGTTCAACAACAGAACGCAAGGAGTCTTGGGCTCTGATGTCCAGCCTAGTGGAAGTGGTTGACATCTCTAGGACCCCAGAAACTTCCTCAGACTTCTCTCAGGACAGAGAAAGTGTTGCTGTGGAGATGTGTCAATAGTATGTCCAGTCTGAGCTCTCTAGAACAGGACAGCACAAGACAGATGTTGACGTCATCTGTCAGTGGTGTGTGAATCCAACAGCAGGCACTGAGATGAAGGGAGAATGGGCACAAATCTGAGGAGAGGTGGGATGAAAAGAATTTGTTCAGTTTCTGGCTACCCTTCAACTTTATCGCAGAAAAGCATAGAGGAAATGGAGCCAGAGTCTTTGGAGGTGCACAGGGACAGCACCAAAGGCAATGAAAACAAATGGCAATATGGGCACTCCCTGGGGATCAGAGGAGCCCTATTTTGCCTAGAAGGGCACCCAACCCCTGGAATAAGGGACCAGTGAGGCCACAGCATCTGAAGCCTTGGAGATCTTCCAGCTCACCTGGACAAGGCTTGGAACAACCTGATTCAACTGACCTGCTTTGAGTAGGGCTTGGACTAAGTGAGCTCTACAAGTCTAGCTACTGGCTACCAGGCAAACGTCACACTAAGAAACACAGTCTGCTGTCCCCTGTAGTTAAAGGGGATGGAAGAGGTATCCCTACACTATGTCATTGTGTAGCAGACCCCTAAGGTCCTCGTGCCAGGATGATGGGAAGGTGGTACCAAAACAGAGAGTATATTCACAAACAGCAAGACCTCTTAGAACAACTTTTATTGATGAGCCCAGTGACAAGCTCAGTATTTTCATTGTTTAGATCATCAGAGAATGATCCAGTGCCAAGTTTCAGTAGGATATTGGAAAAGAAAGCTGACAGGAAGCAGCTTTTCTGCATAGACTCCAGAGTCCTGGTAGACAATAGGATAAATATGACCCAGCAGCATATCCTGGCAGGGATGAAAGCTAGCAACATCCTGGCCTGGTACAAAAAGAAGACAGCCGTTAGATCAAGGGAAGAAATTTTTTCATTTACTCAGCTATCATTAAACAGCAGCTGGAACACTGCATCAGTTTTGCAGTATCCCAGTGCAATAAAGATGCTGATAAGTGATTCCAGTGGAGACCACCAGGATGCTCAGAAGGTGGCAGCACTTGCCCTTTGAGGAGAAGCTGAGGGAGATGGGCTTGCTTACCTTGGAGAAGACACCTTCAAGGCAAACTTAGAGAAGCCTTCAATACTTAGAATACTGCTAAGGAATTAGAGCCAGGCTCTGTCTTGAAGAGGACAGGATACAGCAGGTACTAACTACACTGGGGAGGTTCTGACTACATATAAGGAAATATATTTCTCCACGGAAGCAGTGAAGAACAGGAACAGGTTGCCCAGAGAGGTGGTGAAATCTCTATCCTTGGGTTGCCTCCTGTGCTCAACGGACCTGCACAGGAGAACACCCAAGCTCCTTTAACACAAATGGTTTTGTGATTCTGTAACTGCAGCAGGAAGTTTCGAAACTAGTGCTCATTCCTCATCTAAGGATCAAAAGAGAGGTCCTTTCTGCCTCAGGTCCATCCCAAAACAGTATGAAAACTCAGCAAACATGTTGGAGGATAAAATAAAACCCTCACAGGCAGCCCGGAAATTTAAAGGCTTCAAAAAATAAAAGACAAGTATATCCAAATAAGCAAAGGAAAGTCACTACATGAAGGACAATTTAAAGAGCCTAGATTTCTAATTCAAGAGTGATTTTTGGCAGCTGAAATGGCTGAATGTGCACTAAGCCAGGGCTGAAGGAAATGACAAGGAAAACCTCCCTGATGCTGTGTGGTAGAGAGTAAATATACCCAGTGGAAGAAAATACATGGGGGATCTCCGGAAAAAAAAGATAGTAGTTAGTCAGATGGCTCTGTTGCAGAAGTTAACATCCCGCTTTTGACAGGACATGGAAAAACAAGCTTTCATGATCACTTAGATATGGGTTAAATTGCCCATTACAAACATTTCAGTTACTCATCTGCACCTATACTGAGGTAAAATGTGTGACTGCATCTTAATTATAATAATACCAGGTAAAACACTTATTGCAGAATGGTATGATACAGATTCCTCAGCTACTCCATAAGTGATCCAGCATGACTTTACAGAGTAACTGAGAAGAGAAACTCAAATTTGCTCTGCAGGGAATTAATCTGAAACAGCTGTTTCAGATTACATTGTGTTGAAGCTTTTGTTTGAAATTAAAGGAAGAGTTTTATAATGATTAAAATTGAATAGTAATTCCATTTTAAATTTGTATTCTTGTTTTCTCATGCAAACACACCCAAAAAGACAGAAGTCCCAATGAAACAGATCTTTCTTTACACACTGATTTTGATATATCATCTGGAAGGTCTGACCCCAAGAGAAAGAAAGTATCTTACTTTTACCTGACTTTTTTATATGTATATGTATGCTTTTACATCTCATCCGTGGACCTTTTGGTTTATTTTTCATTTCTCTCCCCCAAAAGAATATTAGCCATGTAACAACACCGTCAACAAGCTGGTAAACTTACTGTGGCATCTTCTGAACACGAAGCTATAACAAAGTCATTGAATGGGTTCCACTTGATGTCCAGAACATTCCCTCTGTGCCCCCATATTCTGGGATAATGTGGGTCGAGCTTGCCTGTCTGGAAAACACGTATCAACAAACCTAAGGTGAGCCATGTAATTACAGGACATTTTTAAAGAAGATCCAAGCCAGCTCCAGCAAAAAAACCTCTTCCTCCTTGTTATGCTCCCAGTGCCCTGGGTGGTCTCTGTCTATTGAGAATGGGCTATTGCTGTCCCTGCTAAGCAAGTCTTGATGATACCACTGAAAAGAAAGGAGTGTCCAGGCCTTTCTAATTACACACTGCTATGAAAAAATCTGTACACATGCAGCAGTTGAGACTGCTGAGGTTTAGAAGACAGCATTTGGTTCAGACATGAGGATAAAACTTTGAGGGGAAACACTCACAAGCAAATTGAATCCTCCATATTTTTTAAAGATCTTGGGGGGAGAAACACACACACCATAAGACTTCTTATCTCTTTCAGAAGACATTTCTTATAAGCAGGAAAAATATATGCATATATAGTTTAGCTTTTATTCTTTAGCTTCGTCAGCTAGAGTTTGTTTTATTTTTCAAGCAAAAAGGCATTTGTGACACAAATTACAAATGTAGTTTTTCTTGCAACAGCTATCTGTTTCTCCCTGATGGTGCTCAAATCCAGCCATTCACCAGATTGAACCAGATTCCAGACTCTCCTAAACGATTTCAAGTTTGGGTGGCATCTTCACTACTAAAAATCCCGCAGGAAGTGCACAAAGGAGTATTGAGAGCCTGATGCCACTTGGGAGCAGTCTTGCACCAGGAAAAAAACATACAGCAGGCACAGTGCTACAAAGCCAAACCAGTGTATTATGTGCTAGGAAGGCTGCTGGGAATTTTAGTAACATTGGAGCAGCACTTGCTTCTCACTGTCAGGAGCAGAAGTACAGGCCCACCTTCTATCCAAGACATCTGTCCAAAAGCAAAGGTCAGACACCTAGAGATGTGGTGGCAAGCTGGTCCTGATTACTGCTTTATTTTTGTCCCACCTCAAAGAATTACAAACCAAAATGAACACAATGCATGCTCTCATGGAAAGGAGACACTTCTATTGGTGCTCTCCCTGCTCCTTTCCAGAGGTGGGCCTTAGGAGTGTACAGCAGAGGGGAATCAGTGCTGGCTCTAACACGGATGTGGCCTGAATGTAATTTTCCCAGCCTTTAAAATGTGTATGGTCCTGAACGAAGAACAGGACACAACATGTAACTATACTGGCCTCACTGGAAAGTTTATCACATAGACTGGGACTCACCTGCTTTAAACTGAACACCGGAGGGCTTTGAAATGTAAAAGACTGTGCTTTTTCAGACTACAGTCTAAAACAATTGTGACAATGCAAAGTGACTTGGGAATGCAGAAGAGAGATAAAAGGCCTTTAATAAGCAGTGTTCCCCCACCCACAGTGTCCTTTTGTACACTTCAGGGCTTGGTTTCAATTTGGCAACTCAGTGGGCTGGGCAGCCAGCGCCACAAGGATCCCTTGATCCGTATGGGAACTCTTTCCCCTCCTATTGCTGACTGACTGTCTGCTCCCCATTCCATCTGGGAGACTCCCAGGCTGCCCTGAGCCTGCTCTCCCTGTCTCATCCTGCAAGGCTGTCCTACCACCATGTCCTCAGCAGGCTCAGCTGGCCCTGGAAAAGGAGCCCTTGCTCTTCCACCCACCAGCCCCAGTGCAGCCTTGCAGCCATGGGACAGAGCAGGACCCCGCAACACGTGAACCCCCAGGCTGCCAATAAACACATAGGACAGGCAGAGCTGCTGATCTCAGATGCACGTCTGCATGTGGAAGTGAAGCTCTTCACATGCTGGGGGAAGCTTTCGTCTCAAAAGCTATTTCAGTAACTAATGTATTGTTATGCATGCAGACTGACTTCCACAGAGATTTGGAGGGACTGAAAATCAGTGAATTTTCAACCTCACACTTTCTAACCTCTCAGCACTTCTGAAAAGTAGCTCCTTGACAAAAACCACTTCTACTGGGACAGCCCTTTCAACTCTCCGAAGAGCAGCTTGTACAGAGTAGGTATCCCTCCTTTAACAGCCAGTGCTGATGCATGGAAAGACTGGAGATCGCAAAGACTTGGATAAATATCTCCTTGTCTCTTGAGACTTTGTTCTCATCCCTTTGCTTTATGCTGCAAAGGAAGAGACAGACGCAGTCTCAAGTGAGTCTGGTCATTGGAGAAGGAAAAAGTCAGGCCTTTGCCACAAAAAGGAAGGCCACAAAACTGCTCTCTCAGTCAAAATCTTTGCTTGCTATGCACTGCAGGCAGTTCCCAAACACATCCGTGCCAGACACCAATCTATGCACAGGCTTGTAAGAAGGCCATTCATCTCCCAATTATAGTCACTGAGCCTGTGTTTCCTTGGACTTGCAAGATTAACAAAGGCAGTCAGTCTGTTCAGCCATCTTCCTCCCTGGTGAGATGTGCTGCCATTCAACAGTACATCTTCACGAGGGCCTGTCTGACACATCCTGCATCAGAAGACCATTCTCCAAGTGGTGGCAAATATTAAACTAATTCCTCTTCAGGCTGAAAGCAAAGGTCTGCTGAAAGGAGAGTCTCTATGGCAAAGGGCTATCTCCCTATATAACCTCTGTTGCTGTCAACCCTAACTCTCCCCCAGGCTCTCAGAGAGGAAGAACAGTGCAGCAGTCGAGAGTAGGATTTATGCAAAGACTGATGAGAGAGCTTGGTGCCCACAATAAGGAGCACAAGTCAGCAAGGAGGCACAGTCCAACAGAGAGGTTGAGCCTGCATTTAAGCACATCTTGAAGCAGGCAGTACCTCTAGTAGCACATGCAGAAAGAACTCCAAAAAGCATTGGAGGGACAAGAGCACCTCCAAGGGCAGGTTATTCACCCAGCCTGGAAAGTGTAGGCCTTCCTTTCCCAGCTACCATCTCCCGCACTCGCTAAAAAGCGCTCTTGCGCTTTTTCTCCACACGATGGCAAGGCTGTAAAGGGGCGGCTGCCTGTGAATCCAGTCAAAAGTAACCACAGATCAGAGGCTCATCATGAGAAGCCAATACTGTCCCATACATAATTTCCAGAGCAGCTGCCTTTGGTTCCCTGCAGCTGGGTCGACAGTACGCTGTCTTCCATGGTCAGCATCGCAAAGGATGGCAGCCACAAATACCACCACCAGGAGCACAAGTCAAAAGCTGCCTGTTTTTACCAGGTGGGACCAGCTGGGAAGTGTACCAAAAGCTGCCTGTTTTTACCAGGTAGGACCAGCTGGGAAGTGTACCACACTCCCGAGGCTCAGGGTACCTTCCTGTGAGCGGCTGAGGCCACTCTCCACACTCAGCAAGGGTCAGGAACAGGTATTCAGAGAATGGCTGTACAAAGCGCAGCACGTACAGTTACTTTCCCCGATCCACCACCAATGGTCAACCCTCAAGGGACTTGCATCAGAACCAACACAGTTCATAAAAAGCTCTATAACTTCATCCTGATTTACACCCCTTAATTCTTCTGGTCTCATCAGGATCTGGAGCAGTGAGCTCCACATCTGAACTGCAGAAGGATTCACATTGGCTGATAACAGTTTGCTCCCTTTACCAGGATTCCAGGGATTCCATACCACAAAAAACAAGAATTGCTCCTTATGCTTCTTCCCCATCCTCATGACAAGTTTTATATATCTCACTTCTTTGTCTTTTTTTCCAGACTCACTGAGGCCTAATTTACAAAGTCTTTCCTCGCATATTTTCATTGATGTACTTTAATAACCTTTTTCTGTATCTCCCAGTTCTACCATGCCTTTGAAATAAGGCAGTTATTTCTGCAGGCAGGTATTTCAGATCTGGATGGAGTGTTAAGCAGGTGTTAAGAATGGAAGAATTACTACTGAATATAAGCCTAGAGAGCTGAAAAAGGTGAGAAGACAGAAAAAATGAATAGTACCTAGTGCAAGCACCCTCAGCTCATTTTGCCAACATTTTGAGAGCTGGCTCCCACCCCCTGTCCCACAGTCACCAGCTGCCTGCATGCAGGTGCAGCTCTGTAAGGACAAGTTCTTCAGCCTCAACAGATCATGATTGAGGGGGCAAAAGTGACTCAGTCAAGAAAAACAAGGCAAGGGTTAATTTTAGAAGGACTGTCTTTGAACAGCACCTGCAGTGAAGGAGATGAACAAACAAAGTCGAGGAGGGCCAGGAACTGTGCTAAGTTTTTCAAGCATAGCCAGTTCACTTTCATCCTTAGCAAATATATATTGAAAAAGTGGTAATGCAATAACACCATCAATTAACTTTTAATTAAAGGCTGAACTTTTGCCTTTCATCTGTTCTGCCCTGATTCCAGAGAGCTCATAATCTCATATTCAAGTTAATCCACATTAGTGTGTGTGCCTAATTTTTTCTGAAGCAATAAACATGAGATGGCCTGCTTCTCTCTCTCATCAGATCCATAAGTCACCAAAGCCCATAAACATGGGATTTGTTTCTAAAAGGGAAGCTTCTCCAGCATCGATGCTTTAAGCTTAAGAGCTTCACTGCCTGATAACTATTTCTCCACTCTTTCACAAAGCAGGAGGTAGAGTGAAACATACCGCATTTTCCTTTTGTTGTATCTGAAAACATGCCAGTAACACAGCTTTCAGATTTTGCCCCCTGTGTCTCCTAATTACTTCTATATTTAAAATTTCTCCTAGGAGACAAACATCTGAATAGCACAGTTCCTGCTCTTTATACAGGAAATGCAAATGAGATGTGAAATGAATGAAGGTGCTAAAAAACTGCAAGCAGCAATGTAAGACATAAAACTATACACAACCCAGGAATCACCTGCCAGGGCATCTGAGGCCCCTTCTATCACTCTGCAACCTGGACAGCAGCATTAACTGAATATCCTCTGTGTGATCTAGCTCCCTAGAAAGCCTGGCTCTCCTCCAGCCTCCTGATGCTCTCTCAAAAGCCAGCTTACCTCAGGAGAGCTCACCTGGTGTATGGGAATGACAGCAAAGGCCCCCCCGCACACACACTCAGTCACCACCGCAATGAAGTGGGGGTTTACAGCGCAGAACTGGTTGTCGTGGACATTGTGGGTGATGGGCACGCAGTCATAGCATTTTTCCTTACTGGCTGGTCTGCCATACACATGGCGGAACTTGGAGGTGCGGTACTGCAGGTTCCACGACATCTGCAATTGGAGAAACACAACGATTCATGACATAAGGACCAAGCAAGGCTTGCAGACCCCCACTCCCCAGCACAGGCTCACCCCTCCGCATCTGTGCTCCTCACATCAACGGCAGCAGTCATATTTTTCTCTGCTGGTCTTCACCCCTGTGGCATGACCTGTGTCTGCATCCATTGCAGATGGGGTGATGAAGGGAAGAGAGTGCAGGGGAGAGAAGACAGCTCTCTCCATCACCAGCTGGGCTGCGCATGCAGTCCCTATCACTGGGGCAGGGCCACACAGCAGCAAGTTTAAGAGGAGATGAATCCTGGTAGCACAGAGCTCAGGAAGGATAAAAGATACATCTTAGGTGGTGAAAGCATGGATGCATGCTTCATTTAGTCCTGAGGTGGCTTAGGACCAAAAATACGTCTAAATTTTGCGCATACGAAGGGGAAAAAAAAAAGAGATCTGACAGGTTACAGGAATAGTTGCTGTCACCCGTTGTTTTTTTCCCTACTAACAATGAATGACATTTTGCATGACTAGTTTATAACCGCACCATAGCCTTCTGACAGGCAGCATTTTAAATGGTGTTTAAATTAGATACGTAAATCATGCTAAACACAAGAACCCTTCCCACAGAGAGCACTGAAGCTTAACAGAACTCATGCAAGTGCTCTCAAGTAGGAAACTACCAGTGTTGGACAGAAAAGGCAATTCAGACTATTAACACTTGCTCTCTCAACAAGACCTAGACAGTGGGGATGATCCTACTGCCTAAGGGAAAAGAAATGCAGATCAGGCAAGAACGTTATGGGTGAAAGAGATCCCCAGTCAGCTGTGAGTATGGGCAAACACTGGAAGAGGGCTTGATTTTGCCCAGTACTGATTTCTTTAACATGCATTTGGTGAACACTGTTACTAGCAATGCTGGATCAAAATACTCCAGTTTGAGATGGGAACCCAACCAAGCAGCTTTTGAGTTACAGCAAGACTTAGACCACTCACTCATAGGGGCAAACGTTTAAGGGGAAGCATGCAATGGCAGGAACTCAAGAGCTTTATCACCTGACAAGGGGCCTAAGCAATTCTAAACTTAAATATCCTTTTTGCTGGCATGTTTTTGCATCCTCTTATGATGACTGTTTGAGGTTAGGAAACTGTACTGCTTGATCCTGGGCTTTTAAACTGAAACTTTACAAGCACCCATCAATACAAAGCTCACATCCCACATCACACTGGAAGATCTGTGCTATGAATAGTGCTAGGACACAAGTCCTGTCATATCTCCTGTTCCCAGAAGGAGCACGGTGTGGCCTGAAGTGTCATGACATATCTGCAATACAAAAGGGACAGATGCCCATTCTGAACACAACTGTGGTGAGACAGATCGAGACACAAGCAGCAGCCCAGATAGAGAAGCTGGGAAGAGCTGGATTGGGCAAAACACTTCTCTACAGGGCTGTATTTAAGCAGCTCCCGAGTTTCGGAAGAACATAATGTTACTTGCTGCACTCCAGGCAGCTACAACAGGTCTTGCATCTTTTATTCTCCACTCCTGCAAGATTGTCAGCTACTCAAAACTGCTTCCTGGCAGTAAGCAGAGTGGTCACTTGTGCCACCAGCTCCATTCCCCACCATTCTGTCTTGGAGGCAAGCCCACCTTGAATCCTCTCCCATCCTGTGTGAGTCCTGCAGCAGAGCAGGCCCCACCTTCTCCCTAACGGCCTTTGAGCTCCTCGGTGACCCCCACACTGGCATGTTTCCATGTACACCTCACCCTTTCCATTCCCCACCCTTGCCCACCACCTCAACATTAGGAGGATGGTCCTCTTCCTGCTGGAGGAAGGGACAGCAACAGGCTGCACATGAGAGCTGACTCCATGGACCACAGGGAACTAGCTGCAAAATCCTCCCCAGAGCAAGAGGCAGAGGCACCTCCATGGGGAGCCCCTCTCCCACATCTTTCCATGGCAAGCAGTAGACCCTCGTGTACAAGTAACCTTTCCCAGTTCTTCAAAACCTATTGAGGCTAGAGCTGCACTTTTCACCTACCTCCCCACATCCAAGGTGCCACCACACTACAGCACCTTCTTACCAACCTTCTCCTGGCCCTCATCAAACAGCCTCTTCCAGAGGAAAAGAGAACTGGAGAAGGAGACCCTGACAGTAGCAGGGCTCCATCTGCTCCCCCTCTGCTCACAGTGCCGGGCACAACCGAGGGTGCTGGGATCTGCCAGCGGCCTCTGCTCAGTGTTCCCTAAAGGGTCCTTCTTTTCCATTTTCAAACATTCACTTCCCTCTTCTCTGTTTTCAGGTTTTCCCAGTCACAGTTATTTGGTTTCTTTCCTTTCCTTTCCTGCCACACTTAGTGGAGAAGAACAGACAGGAACACCAGGCAAAAGAAAGTGATACGACCACTGTCCAAACATAGAATAGTCAGGGTTGGAAAGGACCATAAGATCATCTAGTTCCAATGCCCTGCCACTGGCAGGGACACCTCACACTAAACCATGTCACCCAAAGCTCTGTCCAACCTGGTCTTGAACACTGCCAGCGATGGAGCATTCACAGCTTCCATGGGCAATCCATTCTGGTGCCTCACCAACTTTACAGTAAAGAACTTCTTCCTTATATCCACTCTAAACTTCCCCTGTTTAAGTTTTAACCCATTACCCCTTGTTCTATCACTACAGTCCCTAATGAAGAGTCCATCCCAGCATGAGGTCTCCATGCAGCCTTCTCTTCTCCAGGCTGAACAGCCCCAACTTTCTCAGCCTGTCTTCATACAGGAGGTGTTCCACTCCCCTGATCATCCTCGTGGCCCTCCTCTGGACTTGTTCCAACAGATCCATGTCCTTTTTATGTTGAGGACACCAGAACTGCACACAACACTCCAAGTGAGGTCTCACAAGAGCAAAGGGACAGGATCAGCTCCTTTGACCTGCTGGTCACACTCCTTTTGATGCAGCCCAGGATACGGTTGGCTTTCTGGGCTGCAAGCGCACACTGCTGGCTCATGTTTGTTTTCTCATCAACCAACCCCCCCAAGTCCTTCTCTGCAGGGCTGCTCTGAATCTCTTCTCTGCCCAGCCTGTAGCTGTGCCTGGGATTGCCCCGACCCACGTGTAGGACCTTGCACTTGGCATGGTTAAACTTCATGAGGTTGGCATCAGCCCACCTCACAAGTGTGTCAAGGTCCCTCTGGATGGCATTCCCTCGCTTGACTGAATCAGCCAAATCACACAGCTTGGTGTCATCGGCAAACTTGCTGAGGGCGCACTCAATCCCACTGTCCATGTCAGTGACAAAGACGTTGAACAAGACTGGTCCCAACACTAATCCCTGGGGAACACCACTCGTTGCTGGTCTCCAGCCAGACATTGAGCCATTGACCACAACTCTGTGTGCGACCATCCAGCCAAGTCCTATATCCACCGAGTGGTCCACCCATCAGACTGATGTCTCCCCAATTTAGAGACAAGGATGTCATGCAGACCAATGTCAAATGCTTTGCACAAATCCAGGTAGATTACATCAACTGCTCTACCGCCGTCCATCAGTTCTGTAGCCCCATCATAGAAGGCCACCAAATTGGTCAGGCAGGATTTCCCCTTAGTGAAGCCATGCTGGCTGTCACCAAGCACCTTGTTGTTTTTCATGTGCCTCAGCATGCCTTCCAGGAGAATCTGCTCCAAGATTTTGCCAGGCACAGAGGTGAGACTGACTGGTCTGTAATTCCCTGGGTCATCCATTTTCCCCTTCTTGAAAATGGGGGTTATATTTCCCTTTTTCCAGTCACTGGGAACTTCACCTGACTGCCATGATTTTTCAAATATGATGGTCAGTGGCTTAGCAACTTCATTCGCCAGCTCTTTCAGGACCCATGAATGGATTTCATCAGGACACATGGACTTGTGCACGTGCAGGTTCTTAAGATGGTCTTGAACTGGATCCTCTCCTACAGTGGGCCCAAGGTCTTCATTCTCACAGTCCCTGCGTCTGCCTTCCAAGACTTGGGTGGTGCAGTCAGAGCATTTGCAGTGAAGACTGAGGCAAAGAAATCATTCAGAACCTCAGCCTTCTCCAAATCCAGGGTAGCCAGTTCTCCTGATAGCTTCTTGAAAGGGCCCACGTTGTCCCTAGTCTGTCTTTTGCTCGCAATGGACCTATAGAATCCCTCCTGTTATCTTTCACATCCTGAGACGAGTTTAATTCTAACTGGGCCTTAGCTTTCTAACCTCATCCCTAGCTTCCCAGACAACATCCCTGTATTCTTCCCAGGGGCCCATCCTTGCTTCCACCTGTTGTAAGCCTCTTTTTTCCTTTGAATTTTCCTCAGCAGCTCCTTATCCATCCAAGGAGGTCTCCTGGCCCTCTGCTGCACTTCCTTCTAGTTGGGATGCAACACTCCTGAGCTTGTAGCAGGTGATCCTTGAATATCAACCAAGAGTCTTGGGCCCCCCTGCCCTCTAGGACTACATCACATGGAACCTTACTAAGCAGGTTCCTGAAGAGGCCAAAGTCTGCAGGTTTGGGCTTAGGAAAAGTAACCCTCACCTGGAGCTGAATCTGAAAAGGATGTGAATGGCAACAAGAAAGGTTCCTACAGGTACCACAGCAGTAAAAGAACAACTAGGGAAAACTTGAGCCTGCTGAGAAGGGGAGCAGGAGTCCTCTAACAAATGACACAGAAAAGGCACTGAAGCCTTCACTGCTGTATTGGGTTTGCATGGCAGGGTTTTGTTGGTGGTGAGTCTACCAAAACCCAGCCATGCTAGGAGGGAGCTACCAAAACCCTGCCGGGGGGGGGGGGCTTTTGCAAGAAGCTTCCCCCATGCCCTATAGAGCCAAATACCAGCCTGTGCCAAGACAGACCCACCGGTCAAGGACAAGTACACCAGTGATGGTGGAAACGCCTCTGGGGTAATATAGTTAAGAAAGGGAAAGAAAAACTGTGCAACTGCAGCCCACAGTAGGAGTGAGCTGTGGTGGTTTAAGCCCAGCTGGTAACTCAG